TCAATGTAAAATACTGGAAACTGAAGAGATAACCTTAGAAATGAAGGTTTTGAGCTCTGTGTAAGTGATCAGCAAAACCAGCCTAGAGCATTTTGTTTGAGTGTTCTTGTACATATTTATCACAGAGGGCACAAAACACACAGGACCCTCTATATTGGGGAAGTAATTAGTGTTCCTGGATCCACTGGAGATTTCCTGTTTACCTGTACCCTTTTAAGGTCCATAAAACTCTTCCTGTCCATAAATTTCAACATCCCCAGAGCCACAAGTAGATGAGATTTTAAGTCAAGACCTACAACTAGGTAAAAGTCTAGGTTTTATGAGGCCTGAGGCTTTTAAAATATAGGGACCTTCTTCAAGAGAAAGAACATAAAATTGCAAATATAAAACTAAATAGAGACTAAGAAGGGGGAGTCAAAAAAGTGAAAAATCATAAAATTTATGTGTCTTTGGTAGTATAGTAAATCTGCCTCTGAAATCACTAAATGTTTCAGTAATATTTCATGGTCAGATTTAATAGTTCTAGTGCCTAGAGGTGAAGTACTTTAAGGGGGACAAGACTAGAGTATAATTAATAGCCAACATTTATTAGGTATATCATATAGCATTTAAATTCTTAACATATGTTATCTCATTAAATCTGCACCTTATTGAGAAGAAATAGATGTGATTACTTTTTCCATTTGTAAGGTACTGATGAAGACCTGAATCATTAACAGTGGGAGTAGAGAAGAGAAGGAAATAAATTACAGAAAATTTAAAACTACAAGATGAATTGTAGGTATGAGCTCAAAAGAGAGAAGCTTCAAGCAGTATGCCCAGATTTCTAATATGAGACAGGGTGGATATATGTCCCACCATATGAAAAGATACAGATTATATGCTAAGGAACAAATCAATGGAGAATAATAATAATAATACATTCAGTTTGAATCTGAGGGATAAATCTCTCTATTTGTATATCTATTTGCATACACACACACACACACAAACACACACACACACACACACACACATAGGTAGGCATGTCATATGGCTCTGAATATCTAAGTTGAAAATAGAAGGAAAAGGGTGGGAATAAAGATAAACATTAGGGATGTTAATGGTAGTTTTAACTATAGGAGTGTACAGAATCTCCTATAGGATACATTAAAAGTAATAATAGCCCCAGTAAGACAAGTAGAACCTTGAAGATTCCCATATTGACGGAGTAAACAGAATAACTCACGAAAAGATTAAGAAGAAATCTTATCAAGGGGATGGAGAAGAAATGCAAGGAACAAGGGTATATAGCCTTATCTCAAATATCTAGAATTCTGAGTAGATGCCTAATCATCCAGGTCATATGCAATAGAGATCCCAATAAGATGAAGACTGAGAATGGTCCATTGGATTTGGCAGTTAGAAAGCAACTGGCCATTTTACTACAGTGGTAGAGCAAAAGCCAGAATTGAAAGGTTGAGAACTAGTCATGCAAGAATAGAAACTACAAATGAAGAGAGCCCTACTCAGAAGTATGTTTGTCATGGGAAAGGTATGAATGTCTTTAGTTTTTGAAGCTTGAGAAATTTGAGAGCCAAAAGTGAAGGAACTACTCTCAAAGAAGAAGGAGCTCTGATAAATGATGGAAGAGCCCAAGAACAGGTTATCTGGGATAAGTTCAAAGATGCACACAGCAAGTTTGATAGAGTAGATTCCTACTATTTGGAGACTGAGGGGGAGGTGGTAAGGGGGTTAAGGAAGAGTGTGTGCTCATGTAGCCCCCTTTCCTCCATGACAGAGGTGACAAAGTCATTTGTCCAGTGGAGGTTGGAAATGGGAAAAAACTGGAGTAAAGAGGATGTTCGAGAAGGCTAAAAACTGTGGAAAGGTTATTGTGAGCCATGCAAGAGTCCATGGATAAGCAAGTAGTAGGATCGATGCCTAGATGGGATCTGAGACAGAGTATCTATTGGGAGAATTAAATGAGAAAACGATAAAACCAACTGTCACAGTTTGCATATTGTTGGTGCTCAAAAAATATTAGACCTACTCCAGTCCACTAACAACAAAGGAGTCACAGGATCTTTGAGACCTATGAGGTGGGACAAGTAATGTCTTTTCCATGGGAAAATGTTGTCATGTGTGTACATCTATAGCATCTGTGGAGATGGATGCACCTACTTGTGTGCACACGCACTTTCTCTACAGCTTCATCTCCTTCAGTTGAAAGCATTATAATGTTAAAAGATGGGATGGGAAAAATAATACCTTCCTAAATCATGGAGCTAAAATAAATATGGATTTAAGTAGATTATTTTAAGTAATTACAATAATAGCTATTGTTAACCAGAAATGTGGAAGTTTCATTAGGAATTTCAAAAAGGTGGGCGCCTGGGTGGCTCAGATGGTTAAGCGTCTGCCTTCGGCTCAGGTCATGATCCCAGGGTCCTGGGATCGAGTTCCGCGTCAGGCTCCCTGCTCCTTGGGAGCCTGCTTCTCTCTTTGCCTCTCTCTCTCTCTGTCTTTCATGAATAAATAAATAAAATCTTAAAAAAGAAAAAAGGAATTTCAAAAAGGTAAAGACTGATTGGCAACATTAATATGAATGGGCAGAAGATGGCCACTTCTCAATACCTCAAAACTAGTGCCTTCTGATAACATTAGAACTTCAAGAGATTATAAAAATGACCCACCTCCACCCCTTTCCTGCAAATAGTAGGAACACTGGGTTATCTCTACTTCTCCAGATAAATACTTGTCATTTCTTTCTCCATGCCTCCTATAGAAAAAAGGAAAGAAAAGAAAAGAGAAAAGAAAGGAAAGGAAAGGAAAGGGAAGGGAAGGGAAGGGAAGGGAAGGGAAGGGAAGGGAAGAAAAGAAAAAAAGAAAAGAAAAGAAAAGAAAAGAAAAAAGCAAAGCAAAGCAAAGCAAAAAGATTTAGGAGCACCTGGCTGCCTTGGTTGGTAGAGCATGTGACTCGTGATCTCAGGGTTGTGAGTTTGAGCCCCACACTGGGGATAGTGATTATTTAAAAAAATAAAATCTTAAAAAAAACCCCCAAGATTTCTTTCTATATTACTGTATTGAATGCAAGGAATTTGCTGGTTCTCTTCAGAGTGGCTTATATCACAAAGATAAGCTTTTTTTCCCCCACAAAGATAAGCTTCTTAAATGCTTAACTCTACAATTCTTGGTCTCAAATTCCAATAGAATGTTATTTATTAAACTTAAAAAGCATATGTTCCTTTCCTTTTCATTAATGAAGTCCACTGCTTAACAACAGAATGTACACTGCACTGTTTAGGCTATGTATTTTATTTGACCTGCTATGATCCTGAATTAGAATATTGTTTTTGTAAACTTAATTTATTTAAATGTATGCTGAAGGAAGTGGAAACAGAAACCTGGGCTGCAAGCTTCTTCTATAAAGTCAACTGCATAGAAAATCAAGTTAGACAGGAACCATGATGTGCAAATTGTATTTTAAAACTTTTGTGCATGATCTTTTAAAATTTACAGCTCTATTTTTCTTAATTCTCACTATAATCTTCTTACTGAAATGGATAGTTCACAACTGATATGAAAGAAAAATATTGGCCTTTGAAAATTATCTCAGTGAAAGGTTTTTCAATATAGATAACTTTATACTTATTTATAATTAAACAGCATCTTAAGATGCCAATTTTCATTGTTTTGCCCAAAGGAATTGATGCTCAAGAGTGTTGAGTGAATGGCTAAATAGGTGAATTGTTTGGACTGGGAATCCTAGTTGGGCTTATAATACACACAACTTTATCCAGTTATCTCAAAGGGGTTAAAAAATTATCATAATAAAATCTTCATTTAAAAATTTAATAGTACATTGAAAAGCTGGAGGTAATAAAGATTAAAAAAAAGAAAAGACAACAACTTCACTTAAGAACTGTCACCAGCCTGACAGCTGATGAGTTAAATATACCCTCACAGTTGTTGGGCGGACTTAAGCTTTTTCTGTTTATTGTTTTGATTTTGAATGTTTAGATAGGACGCCTACTCTCCAGTTTGTCCTAGGCTCCATCATCCTTCTTGCCTTAGACCAGAGCTAATTCATAAATCCTTGTTACATGGTTGGCCACTTAGAATTTGAATCTGGGATCTCAGATCTCCTAGGAAGGTAAAATGAACAGATTACCCTGTAACCTTATCATTTGTAACCACTGTTACAAATGTTATAGAGTTAAAACAAAGCCTCAGGAAAAGAACAAAGGAAAATGTAACAAAACATAAATTAGCAACAATATAAAGTAGAATCCATGACACTTGAGTTATGATACATTGTGGGAATAGCCCTAGTAAAGAAATTATAATCCTAATGTTATCTACTAGCTTGGAAAGAAGTGAAATGAAAACAAATTAATTTTGGATACTTTAAATTATTTTGTCACATTGTTTACATCTTATTGCTTATATCTGATAATGTAAATTTATTAATATTCTATTAAATCCGGGTTAGTCCTTCCTAATTAACAATCACAGAATAAAAGGGTACCAGGAGACCAAGAGTAAGTATTCAACTATTAAAGGCCCTAGTCCAGATCAAAGATAAATCACTCATAAATAACACACTGTCTCCTCTGATATGCTCTTGCCACCAACAACCCTCCTATCCTTTAAAGTCAGCCTGAGCTTCAACTCCAGCACAATTTCTGTAACCAATTTCACCTTCACAGCAAGACCTTACCCTTTTCAAAGAGCACTTACTGTCTTTATCAGACAACTACTCTTTAAGAAGGAGTAATAACAGGTCCGCAAATTTCAGTACCGGCAATTTAGCACTTAAATTTAGTACATAATTTAGATTATTATGCTATAGTATGTTGGTTATTTATGATGCAAAATATCCAATAATTGATATTTATGTACACTGAACTATCTCTTTAATTATATTATGAACATCCTATTAGTAGAGATAATCTCTTTAAAATTTTAGTATTTCACAGAGCCTGGGACAGAGCTAGATATTGCAGTCCATGTGTTACCTGTTTTATTTGCAGATTTAATTCCTTGAGACAGGGTCAATTTAGCTTGAGTTTCTGGAATCTGAGGAATGTAGATTTTCTTGGGGATATCAAAATGTTCTGGAAGGCTCAGTTCTGCTGTGTATAAAATGGACTTAGGCTTCTTTAGCTTTGAGGTATTAAAGAGCATACAAGTCTGCAAATAAACAGAGTAAAATTGGAATGTAATTCTCTTAGCCTTTACCTCCAAAACACACACACAAAAGCATTATGTATTTAGAGCCCACATTTGGGAAAAAAATCCACCAAGGGATTGAATATGTTCATTTTTCTTTTTTTTTTTTAAAGATTTTATTTATTTATTTGACAGAGAGAGACACAGCGAGAGAGGGAACACAAGCAGGGGGAGTGGGAGAAGGAGAAGCAGGCTTCCCGCGGAGCAGGGAGCCCGATGCGGGGCTTGATCCTGGGACCCTGGGATCATGACATGAGCCGAAGGCAGATGCTTAACGACTGAGCCACCCAGGCGCCCCTGTTCATTTCTTTAGACACATTATTATTTGATTGGTGGAAGATAGCACTAACATGTTTTACAGAATCAGTGGAATCATCCTTTATTAACAGATGCTCAGCGTCCCATTCTCTAATCCTTTCAACGTTGAGGAATTCATTGCTTCAGGGAAAAACCAGTTCCACTGGTGAATAGCACTGAGAAAGTGCTTCCCTCCTTCAGTTGATCCCTGTGTTCCTTAACATCTAACCCATCAGTTCTAGTTCTTATCAGAAGCAGTTAGTCCCCTCTCTTTTCCTAATGACGATTTTGTAAATATATGTGTGCATATGTGTGTGTGTACATATATAGATGTATAAAATTAGGTCCTGCCCTTCCACAGACATCCAAACATACCTTTTATTTTTTTTAATTTCTTTTCTTCCTCCCCCGCATCCCAAATATACCTTTTAAATAGGTTTGATATGTTTAGTCCCTTCAACCGCTACTTACATACTGTGGGTTACAATAACTGATCATCATGCAAATGCTCCTCAAGACCCAATCTAGTTCAATATTGTCCTTCCTAAAATGGAACGCTGAAGAGAAAGCCAGTTCTCTAAGTGTGAACCAAGAAATGCAAAGCACAGAGGTAAGCAATCATTTATTTTTACCTGGATGCTCTATTGCCAACCACAGAGTACAGCCCAATGGTTAGACCAAGCACTCTTGAAAGCAGACTGCCTGCATTTATAACCCAACTCTAAGTAAGCTTGGCCAGGCTATTAACCAAAGCTACGAAGCCTTCATTTGTAAAATATGGGCAATAATAGTACACGCTACCTATCCAAGGTGTGAATATTTAAAGTGAAAACAAAATCCAGGTCCTTGGAGCATATTTTGATAAATGTTGGCTATTAGTATCATCATTGTCATCATCATCATCTTGATTGTGGTCATAGTATCATTATGCAACAAAAATAAATGTTAGTGCCATTAGCAATTTTCTCACTCACTGGGTTTGTTATCTACAAAAACCACAAGTATTTTTTTCCCACAAAGTAACATTTTTCAACTACTTTATTTTGGTAATTAAAATCATGTAAATTAAAAAACTTAAATTAATTCATTTATATTTATCATTGCTTGTATTTGGTTCATTTTTCTAGTCACTACGAACAAATTATCTATTCACATCAACAACCAGCTCTTTAACCTAAATGTGTATCATCTGCCTTCTATTTCTTCAAGTCATTAAGTCATGATATATTGACATAGACTCTCTTCTTGGCCAAACTCTAGTCAGGCTCTTCCAACCCCTCGTCTCAAGTAGACCTCAACCTTGGCCTACAATAACTGCAGATTTTTTCATCACAAATGATTTTGTCTACTCCCTTCACACACACACACACACACACACACTCTAAGAGACTTGAACAAATGCTGACTTAGTTTCTAACAGCTCAAGGCCATATCCCTAGGATGATCCCAGATCCCCTTAAAGTGCCTACCTGAGAGAGCTCAATGCTGCCAAGAGAATATACTGTTTGTTCCAGCCAAAACCCAGTGACAGGAAGATAGGCCCCTAAACCCCCTCTTATTAGAGCAGTTACTTTAGAAAGCTTGCTATTATAAATCCTTTCTCTCTCTTCCTTTCTTTCTTCCACCCCTACCCACTGCACCCTCCCCCTCTTTCTCTCTCCTTTTTAAGATGCAAGTTTTCTGTGACCCAGAACTGTCTTCTCAAGGACATTAGAATGCGAACATTCAAGGAGATAATGATCCCAGCCAGGTAGGTACCTTGTTCTATCTTTCATCACTACCTCCAGTCATAAAGATCACAGAAGTTTGCTTCTCCTGCAGATAAGCATCACTTAACAAATCCAGATCACACTGACCAACCCCCTCCCACTTAAAAATGTCCACTTCCCAGATTCTGCTCATTATTATTAACTTCCCAGCTCATTATCCCTCCTTACTTTCTCATCCTCCCTTTAAAACGACCAGTTCCTCCTGTACAAATTTCAGTTTAGTTCATGATGGATCCTTCTCCCTGTTGCAACAGTTACTGAATAAAGTCTATCCTTATGGCTGTAACTAGTATCCAGCTTTGTTTATCTTTAACAATATCAATAGGATTACTTCATGATTTAGAGTGCACTTAAGTTATACAAATACAAAAAACATTTTCTTTACCCTTCTGAATCCTCACAAAGGAGATCTTTTAGGCTTCCTTTTTTAAACATATTAAATTTCAAAATTTCAATGATTTTTCCTACCACTTATCCCAGAGTATATATATAGCATGGCTTTTAAAACATAAACTGGAAAAGTTAATAGAAAATAGAAGGAAACTACCCTGAAGTTCTGAATCTTTCCAGTATCACTGAGTATATGATTAGAGTTGATTTATTAATGGTCAGAAGAATATGAATTCAATAAATGAGTGCTAAGTGGTGAAGTGTCAGAAACTCATGCTCTTGACAAAAGATCCTGTCTTTCCCAGTATAAAGTAGATACATCATTTCTATTACTCTATAAATATTTCAAAAATTCAAATTCCACAGGGTTGTTTACCAAAAACAAACAAACAAACCAACCAATTACTCAGATGTGTCACCTTTCTTTGGTAGAAAAGTGACTACATTTATTCAAATAGATTTAGTTCTAAACAGATTTATCTCAAGGACGATTTTAGATTTTGTTATGTAGTTATTTTACGCTATAACTGAGCATTCTAGGCTTTCATTTATTCCATTAAACAATTTCATGGTAGTAGACCAAGAAGTGAACATATGATCTGGAGACTATGCTGGCGAAGGAAAAGAGTAATGGACGAGGGGGGCAAAAACCTGGGTCGATATCTTTTCTGTCACAAATCAGTGGTGTGATCCTAGGCTACCATCTTACTATTTTGGGGTCTTGGTTTGCAGGTCTGTAAGTGTAAGAGGTTGGACTATGTGTCTCTGAGTGTCTTTGATTTCTTTTCTCAGCTTTAAAATACAATGATGTCTCTACCATGATCTGGGCTGTAATTGCTACCCTGTTGTTAAGGGCAACATAAGTCTTTTTATACCTCAGTCATTTCATTTTTTGTATTACAAGTGTAATTCTACCTTCTCTACATTTCTCCATGGGGTCATTGAAATAATCTGGAAAAGTGCACATAAAAGCATATTGGAAAAATGGTGTAAAATACTATACAGGGAGAGAGTACTTTTAAAATTAATTTTGTTTACTGTTCTGCTGCAAAAATTATCAGCATTATCAGATTTCAAGAGTGCATTGATAATTGCTACTTGAAAAGAACCCTTTATGATAGATGTATATGAGCACAATAAGATGCATCTGTGAGTTCTGATTTGCTGCAACTGGTTTTCCTAAACTAGCACATTCAACCCTTCTATAGTTGTTTTGTGCATTTGGAAAGTTTTTGCTGAAATCGAAAAATGTGTGATAGTCACAGAATTCAAAGAAAATAGTAATCTTCAGGTAAAAAAACTTATAATTTCTAAATTTAGAGACTATTTAAAACATTTCAATTTTAATTTTAAAGAAGCCGAGGTTTTTTTTCATAAATTATGATGATGATGATTGTTTTTGTTGCTGTTATTTCCACCAACCAATCGAGAAGTACACACATACAGATACCCATCCTGCAAATGTGGGAGGTAAACAAGAATAAGTAAACAAGACGACTGTGACTGTGAAAAATCAGGCTCTGAGGCAAGCTGGATAGACATGAAGACCTCAGGTTTAAAGTATTATTTGTTTGTTCGGGCACATGTTCAATTCAATTAAAACAGTGACAGAGCACCTGTCACACACAAGACAATAAGAGCTAAAAAACACATGACAAAGATTTTCCATTTCTAGGCATTCACAATTCTAGAGGAACAGGGAAATATAAAAATAAATATTATACAAAACATAATTTGGTAGATACAATAATAAACACAAAGAGTGTGCTGGGTTTTGGAGACAGTTGAAAGAAGAGTGAGAAAAATAGAAACTGTATATATGCATAAATAATAGAAAGTGGATCCATTGACAAAATCCATCTTCCTCCAACATTTCTCATTTAAATAAAATATTTTGATAAGAGGTAAGAATGAAGAAGATAAATTTTTAATTTTTTTTAAGGTTTATTTATTTGAGAGAGAGCAGGGGGGAGGGCAAAGGGAGAGGGAGAGAGAGAATCTCAAGCCGACTCCCCGCTGAGCACAGAGCCCGAAGGGGGCTCGATCCCATGACCCTGAGATCATGACCTCAGCCAAAATCAAGAGTCTGACGTTTAACCAACTGAGCTGCCCAGGTGCCCTTGAAGAAAATAAATTTAAAAGTAAAGAGAGAGAGTGAGTGCACTATGATAGGGTTAAAGTTTGAAAAGTCCACATATCAAACATTTCTATTGTAATACTATACTGAAAGCTGAACAAAAACCTTCCCAAATTCATTGCTCCGTCATAGAAGTAAGCCTGTTGGTATGAGCTAAAGAGAGCCCTCAACTTCTTGAATGCATAGTGTAGATGGGTCAGTCCAGAGGGCATCAGAGCCTTAGGCCTTGATATTTTTGAACTAATCAGAACTTAAGAGTCCAAGTCATCCATAAAATATCATCATTAAATGTTAGGGATCTGTGCGTAGACTGTACTGATTCTAGCATTCTAACAAAAAAAGAAATCATCCCTACAATGCTGAGTATTTGTTGTAATATATGTAAGGTAATATATGAAGGTAAATCTCAAACAAGGATGAAAACATTTACCATTTGTTCCTATACTGATCAAAGATTTAGTGATTACCGGGGCGCCTGGGTGGCTCAGTTGGTTAAACCGCTGCCTTCAGCTCAGGTCATGATCCCGGGGTCCTGGGATCGAGCCCCACATCGGGCTCCCTGCTCATGCAGGAAGCCTGCTTCTCCCTCTGCCTGCCGCTCCCCCTGCTTGTGCTCTTTCCCTCTCTCACTCTCGCTCTCTCTGTGTGTCAAATAAATAAATAAAATCTTTAAAAAAAAAAAAAAAGATTTAGTGATTACCTTTGGCATAGTATACTTTTCTAGGCACTGGTGATATGAAAGTTAACTAAACAAATATCTCCTCACAAATTCCCTTGCTGGAGACAGACAATGAGTAAGCAAACAAATATATTCCTCTCAGGTGATAAATGCTATCTATAGAGAAAGTTGAAGGAAATTTAGGATTCGGAAAGTGCCTGGTAGAAGTAAGCAATGCTTTTTAAAAAGTACGTAAGATTTTTAAGAAAATACAAAAAATATAAGCATAACCTCATTGGTAGCATTCTAGCAGGCCTGAAGTAATTGAGGGAAGTAGGGTCTAATATCTAGGGAAAATTAACCACAGAAGTGCACAGGGCATGGGGAGCACGCATTGTGAATGCCTAGAAATGGAAAATCTTTGTCATGTGTTTTTTAGATGAGCAAGGAGGCCTGTGCTGAGGGAGTGACATGAATGAATGGGCTTCAGTGGAGAAGGTGAGATCAGGGAAGAGATGGGACTGACCAGGGAGGGCGGGGCGGGGGGGGGTTGAGGACCGTCCTAAGGATGTTGGGTTTTATTCTGAATGAGCTGAAAAGCCAACAGAGGAATCTGTGCAGGGGAGCAACGTGACCAGGTTTCCATTTTAAAAGAATTGCTTTGGTGGCTCTCTGGAGGCTAGACTGTACCTTACTTCATTTATACAATAGAGTTCAAGATAGAATAATAGAGTCCATAGTAATAACAAGAACAATAATGCTGCACATATAGAGAGCACTTATTTATATGCCAGGCAAAGTGGTAAGCATTTTACGTAATTATCTCACTTAGATTCCATCAATTACCAGTATCTTCAGATTAAAAATATAAAAATTGAAGATTGAGGATTTTGAATTAACCAGCCCACAGTCACACAGGTAGACAATGTCAGGGTCTGGATGCTCAGCCTGGTAGTCTGACCCCGGGGATGAGCCTCTTTGGATGAGGCTCAAAGAACATCCTGGACAACTTTTAGAACATGTCCCTCCCCACCCGCTTCCAGAGATTTGTATTTAATTATTCTAGAATGGGGCCTGGGTACTACTATTATTTTAAGTTCTCCAGGGCATTCTAATGTGTAGTCAGAAGTGGAGGCAACCGTGAATTCAGCGGCTACACTGTAATGCCTAAATGTATTAGCATGCTAAGTTACCACTAATTTAGTTCCACTACTAAAATTAGCAGTCCTGCTAACATTAGGAGAACGCTTTGCTTCAGACTTATTATTTAATGAGGTAGAAAGAAGAAAATCTACTGAGCTGTCTTCCTGAGGAAAACCAGCATTCATCATTTTTTCATGTAAAAAGGTTACGATTAAGTGACAACTCTGTATGATTCTACAATGACAAGCATTTCAGCGCATCATGTGTCCTGCATTCTCACCTCAATCTTGGTCAGCCCCAGGAGGGCGATGGCCACACGAACACTGCTGCTCTCCAGGGTGCCTGTGATCAACCGTCGCTCATACTCTATATCCGACATCTGCTGCTGGGCCGCCAAGGCCAAGGCCTTTTCCTTGGCTTCATTAGTCAGTGGCAACTTAAGGTCCACATCCAAGATTTGACGGAGCTCACATTTCAAATACAGAACTGGATTTTCCTTACTCAACACTAGGGGAAGCAAAAAGATTCATGACTGCCAGGATCATTTATGCCCCCGACAACCTTATCCAGAATGGACTTGGAAGGTTTGAAACAGAAAACTGCAGTTGTGGCCTTCATTAACCAGAGTAACACGGGTAACTCACTTCCAGTAGCCCTAGTTCAGTAATTCAAGAGTAAGTCTTCAGGAATTAAGGTGATTTTGCTGGTATTCTCTAAGAAGAATGCTCAAAGAATGCTCCAAAGAACTCAAGGAGTTCTTTCGCAGAAATATCAACATGTTCAAACATAAAGTGATCATTGTGCTATCAGCGATTAGAAGGTAAGCGAGGTAAAAATAAACGTAAAGACGTGTCAGGTGATGGTAAGAGCTGTCATTTTCTTTCACTAACAACCTTATACTTCAGAATGAGGGTACAAGTTCAGGGTACAAGTTCAGTTAATATATTATAATATATAGAATTTGAGAGTAGAACCATTTCCAAATTATTTGGGCAACTGAAAATTTGCTGAGTAAATATTCTGCATGCCAAATTTCAATATTCATCTGAAGAATGAAAAATAAGGATTAAAAAAAAAATCACCATTGACATTTTCTTAATTGTTAAACTGGGGCTGTATTCCATGGATGCTGACATAATAAAGTTAAAAGGGAGCCTTCCAAAAGCCTTCCAAGTTTTTATTGGAAAAACTTGCCAGGAGTACGCTTGGATGGCTGTATGAAGAACAACCCCATTCTTCAACATTTTAAATGAAATAAAACATACTCTACCTTCCTCTGGCAAAGTGCTGTAGTCAAGTGGAGCTGAAGAATCGTTTGGGAGAAAGGAGGAAGGCAAGGGGATCATACCTTTTCCTTCCACAACGTAAATTAATTCTCCAATCTAAAACACAACCACACAATAATATTAAAAAAAAGCTCAGAAAAAATTAGGATCTTTCTGCTATAAGAAAAAATCTGTACACTATAACAACATCCATGCAGTGTGCATTGCTAAGCAACTGTAAGCCCTAAGTGAGGAGTGAAAGGTAAGGCTGAAATCTAGCCCTCCCCCAGTGTGGGGGAAACTTTGTATGCAACCAGAGCAGGGAGGTGGATTAAGAAGGCCCCAGGATGGCCCTGAGGGCAGTTGATCTTTGTAGCTGTAAATATCCTTGGTAGACTGCTAACTTAAATCACATAAACAATCAAGAAAGAAAGAAATATTTTTTTTCCTTCATTCTGTAATGTATTTTTGGAGAGGAGTGACATCACTTTTGCATGACAACTGAGTCCCCAAACGTCTATATTTTAAAATGCAGATTTTCAAAATGAGCATATAAGGGTCTGCAGATCTTTTAGAATAAGTAATTAGGCAAGAAATACAAAAGACTAAACAAAGAGAGTGAAAATTAAAGTGGGGTCAACGCAAGGGCAGCAACATGATATGGGGAAAGATTAACAGAGGTTGAAAGGCTTGGTTTCAATTCTGGTACTGCCATTTACCAGCTACTAACCCTCAGGCAAGTTTAGTCAATCTCTGACTTTCAGTTTTGGCCTCTGTAAAACAGGATGATAAAAAAAAAAGTTCATTTTAGAAATCTAGAGATTAAATGAAAAGGAAGGGGAGAGAGGGAGTCTCAAAAGACATAAGATCCCAATGGATGAATATTTAGATCTTGATTCTGAAGGGAAGCAGAAAATGTCACCCCAGAATATGTTGCTTTGGTATACTGATAATTTTGAGTTGTAGGCACTTGAAAGACAGCAAATGCAAGGAGAGGCTTTCTTTGGACTTGCCTTATCTGCCTAAAGACAGACCCTCCAAAAGAAACTCATGTATCATAAATTCCCTCCCTGAGGATTTCATCAACCAAGGACTGACTCATCAGAAGAGACTAGAAGTTGACACTGTACACTGACAAACTTTGTCACAGAGTATCGTGTCTCCCACCTATTTTTCTAAGAGTCCATTCATCTTTCCTAAAAAATCATTTACTCTCCTCTAAGTGACCAACGTCCCTTTCTCCCTTTTCCCTATTAAGATGGCATTAAAGCCTGAATTCTAAGTCACTTTGAGGAGTTACTCATTTTTCCTTGGGTACCTCTCATGTATATAGGAAGTATACATGTTAATAAATGTGTTTTTTTCATGTTAATCTGTCTTTTATTACAGGAGTCTCAGCCAATAATTCAGAAGGGTAGAGGAAAAACTATTTTTCCTCCTCTACAATTCAAACAAAGACATTTAAAAGGAAATGACAGAAAAAACGTACGGACAATCATGAGACAATCAGGAAAATACGAACAATGCCTGATTGTTTGATGCTACGAAAAAAATTTACAATATTTTTAGTAATAACAGTATCATGATTATGTTAAAAAACCGAAGTCTTTTTGTTGTAGAGATGCTTACTAAATTATTTGTGGATAAAATTATGTGATGATTGGGAGTTGCTTCATTATAATGATGAAACAATTTTGGCCATGCACTGTTGAAGCTGGGAGAAGGATACAGGGGGGATATATTGCAGTTTTATTTCAAGAAATGTATTTTATATTTTTCATAATAAAGTATTTTTTTTAAAAATGCTTACATCTTTAGAAGTAGAATGATAGTAAAGATGTGGCGAGAACTAAATGAGGTAATACATATCAGGAACCTAACCCTTTGCCTGGCACTTACCAGGCACATAAGAGATCCGTCTAAATGGAGAGGGACCATCTGTTGAGAGCAGGGCTTCCCAAACATTCGTGACATATAAATCACCTAAAGATATTGTGAAAAATGCAGGTCTGACTCAAGAAATCTGGAGTAGGACCAAGACTTGAAAGGATCAATGAAAATGAGCATTGGCAAATTTAGGGCTAAGCCATACAATGGAGAATCTTCTGTCAGAATGACCTTGTGCCAGGCATGCATCTCACTACTAGGAAAGCAAAAGGAAACAAACTTAGCTTCCAAGTTGGGACTACTAGTTTGAACTGTCCCACCATCTTAGAACAATATTAACTATATGTTTGAGAGACTATTCCAGAGGCAGCACACATAAATGATATAAAAGGAAATTGCATAATAAAAATACATATTCCATGATATTGTAGATATCCTAGATAACATGTGAAATGGCAAAAACTGAAAATTAATCTGGAAACAATATAAGAATAATCAATTTCTGATCGTGAGGTCAATTTATTTATAGTTTCACTACCCCTCCCTGATTGAGATTTGTTTACAATGAAATTAACTGTCATCTACTCTCATATGATAATGTTCCATAGAATTTTATTAATTATGACTCACAATTATCTTCAGTTCATGCTGAAAAAAGAAATATGGAAAACTTTGAATGTTTTGAATTGTTTAGCATTTAATTCCATGCACTCTGGTAATAAACAGTATATTATAGAAAACTTTCATATAGTAATTTTTCCAAAGCAACCTGGTACTTTGCAAACATAAATCCAAGCTACCCACCTGAAATGGGTTTTCTATGTGTGCATGGTTTACTACAAATACAGCTAAGTGATTAATACTAATGACATGAAATTTTCAATGATAATCGAAGTACAAAGATTCAACAGAGACCAGAGAAAACAATATATTTTTACTTTTACCTTTTTCTCATTTTAATTTTTATCTAAAAAATCAGTCGTTTAACTCAAAATATAATATTCATAAGAAATTAGACTCAGTGAGTATAGGGTTACCAAAGTACATGTTTTCTTAAATGTATGCCTGATCTATAGCTTGTCTTCTCAATGAAAATGAATACTAACTCATGGAAGTTGATACAAAAGGAGCAAACTGCTATTTGCCAGAATATTTCCCTTAAATATACATTATAAAAAGCCTCCTAACCATGGATTAGCCAACTAAAATATCAGTAACTAAAACTCCATTCAACTCCATTTAATTCCACATCTTACACAGACGACATATTATCGTTTCCCAAAAAATTATTTTGTCTAACTTGTTCACTTTCAGTGTTCTTTTTTTATTTAAAAAAAATATATAATTGAAAAAAATGCCTGTCAGAAAATTGTTCAGGAAAATCAACTGTGGTATCATCTAATTATTTCCCTCTACTTTTCTTGCAATAAAATCAGACCAGGAAAGGAATACAAATGCAGTAAAGAACTCCCTTAAAGCAGAGAAGTCCTTTACATTCCAAGTCTGGAGGCCGTGACAAGGGAAATGAGATTATCTGACACATAACAGACACTTGTCAATGTGAGCTATTCTAACAGTCTATTAAATTTCCTTTCTGCCCTTAATTTCATATTCTACAGTCAGGATGTTTACTTGGATTTTTATTATATTTTCCAGAAAGATGCCAAAGCCCATAGCCCATTGTCCATTGCAAGAAACCCTCACAAAAGATAGTTTGTTCTTCCTGTGTATCTAAGTTAAATGTAGTCCTCAAATAACACAGTTGCAAGCAAATTTACAAGACTGGCTGTTAATGACCCAGAAATAAGAAACACAAACAATGAATCGGCAGAAAAGTTTTAATCCCCAGCTCTGCTACTAATGAGCTGGGTAACCTTGGACATGTCATGGATGACCTCCAGACACAAACAACCTTAATCTTAAAAAAAAAAAAGCATTTTAGAAAATCCCCATGTTGTTTCATAGGTCTTAAAATTCTACTTATTCTCTAATCTTGGGCCTAGATTTTGTTATGTTTTGTAATTTATTTGTTTGAACTGGCTGAACAATATTATATTACTTTGATGGCTAAACAGGTATGTGAGAGCTAAGCTAAAATTCTAAAATGTTAAATTCCATACACTAGACAGAGATCATTAATCACTGTAGGTGGCTATTTGGCATTGCCATAATTATAATGTGAAACTGACCAGTAAGAATAATCACTGTTCTTTTAAAATATGATCTTTCATAGAATGAGTGTTCTAGGAGACTCGGTAAGGGTGAAAAGAAAATGTATAAAGAGATTTGTATGCTTGCACTAAAAAGTTCAACTTTCTTAACACAGTCTTTTTTTTTTTTAAGATTTATTTATTAGAGAGAGAGAGAGCAGGGGGAGGGGCAGAGAGAGAGAGAGAGAATCCTAAAGCAGACTCCCTGCTGAGCAGGGAGCTGGACGCCAGGGCTTGATCCCAGGACCCTGAGATCATTACCTGAGCAGAAATCAAGAGTCGGCTGCTTAACTGAGTGAGCCACCCAGGTGCCCCAACACAATCTCAATTGCATTCCACAGACATTTTGAGAAAGCAACATATGTTTAAATACCATAAAATATTAATTACTTAATAAAAATATATGGCATATTGTAGGAAAACATCTCGTCAAATAACAGAAAGCTTGGCCTAGAATTTAGAAGTTACTGTGGCAATGATATTGACAATCTCTCTTTGTTTTTATCACTGTATTTCTCAGAACAGTTTCTATTCAATTTTTTGCCATCAATTTGCTCTGCACATAAATGAAAATTTGCTTCAAGTGTGAACATCACGCAAACTGTCATTAAGATTGATCTTTATATCAATATTCATTTTTGTGGTTCTCTCTTGTCCCCTTGCTCCTTCCCCCAAATCCAACATCATCTCCTCTTCTTTCACCACTACTTCTCACATGCTTCTCTCTGTCTTTACCACTGGTATGCAAAAAGCAGAAGGCAGTAGAGAATGGAGATGTGTGGAGTAGTATAATAGATTGCAAGAGTCTCTGAGCCAGCCTCTTGGTCTCCAGCTTCCTTCCCCAACTCTTAATCTATTCTCTGTTTTGGCTCCGGAGATGCTTTCTAAAACAAAGATGAAATCAGGTCATGCTTATACTCAATATCTTCCTGCTTTAAATAACAATAATTACCCTAATATAATAAAGTTATTCAACATAAAAATTTCACTGCCCTCCTCATTATCAGTCTGCCTTATCCATCCAATCAATTTTCTGTCACTTCCAGCAAGCTTCTCTCAGAACTGGCAATTCAAGTGTCAGTGAAATTTCATGCTTAGCTGCTTGCCTCATGTTCTCAGAATCTTCTTGAGCACACTTCTCCCCTACCCAAACTGCTTTACTGGCAAATTTCCACTCACCCTCTTAACCGAACTCCTTTATGAGTCAATTGTCCCTGCCTCTGCTATGATATAGAAATGCATTTTCCCTCTATTCTAGACATGGCCACAATCTGGCTGACTGTGTTATAGAATTAATGGACATGTTTCAGGATATCGTGTACATAAGGAAAGATTATGTCTTGCAAGGGGCATCTTGTTGAGGGCATGGTTGTCCCAGCACAATGTGGCATCCACTGAAGGCAGGAATGCATTTTTATAATTCTTAGGAATGTGCCATACATTCAGCAAGCTTTCTTCATCCACCTGTAAGGAGTACCAACTTCAAATAAGTACAACTTTCTGTGTGAGCTGGGCCAGCCTGATGCAAGCATGCCTTCTCCACGGAATGTGAATCCCCTTAGAACAGACTTCATGTCCTTTCTCTGTGTTCACTCTCTATATACCTACAGAACTGGCTTTATACTGTTGGTGAATCAAACTGTGCTGGGAGAAGTGAACACAATAATAAAATGAAATTATTGAGAATATAGCTTGAGGGTGTTAAGTTTTAAAACTTACAAGACTCATTCTCCATATTCTACAGTTTCCTTCAAGAATGAGAGAGTTCCAGACTAGCAACTAGCAGATACATCAGTTGTGGACATCAAATGCACAGCTTAGGGGCGCCTGGGTGGCTCAGTTGGTTAAGCGTCTGCCTTTGGCTCGGGTCATGATCTCAGGGTCCTGGGATCAAGCCCCGCATCGGGCTCCCTGCTCAGTGGGAAGCCTGCTTCTCCCTCTCCCACTCCCCCTGCTTGTGTTCCCTCTCTTGCTGTGTCTCTCTCTGTCAAATAAATAAAATCTTTAAAAAAAAAATTTCAAATGCACAGCTTAGTGATTATAGTCAACAATACTATGTTATAAACTTTGAAGTTGCTAAGGGACTAGATCTTAATTGTTCTCAACACAACAAAGAAATGATAATTGTGTGATGTGACAAAGGTGTTAGCTAACACTACTGGAGTAACCACACTGCCATGCATAAATGTATCAAACCAACATGCTACCTAAAAATTTATACAATGCTATCTGTCAGTTATATCTTAATTAAAAAAAAAGGTTCGTAAAATTGACATGGATTTGGGAAAATAGGAATTACTGTTCCCTTGTATTCTATATGTCATTTGAAAGGGTATCCCCTGGAGCTAAAATACTGGTATCCCAGAGGCATGTGGAATCTTTACAGACTAACTGTTAGGATCATTGATAAGAAACACAGAGGGCCCCCCCCCCCAAGAATAAATAACTACCATTGGGTACAAAATTCTCTTTAACAGATTTTCTTCTAATGTTTTTTTCTTGAAAAAGGCTGCAGTGCTTATGGCAGCATGATGATGGTTTCACAGAAAGGAGAGTGGGTGAAAGGGGAGAAGGCCCTGCAGCAGGGAGGGGGCTCAAACTATGTGTAACGTTGTGAACATTTACCACATTGATCTAGAGTTTAAAGTTCACTTAACCTGCTCCCATATTGTCCGCAGGCATCTTAAGGTTAATAAATGTTTCAAAGTGTTTATGGGCCAAATGGGGTTTCATCTTCTGTTTCCCTGGGAACAACTCAGGGGTACGGGAAGGAGTGTACTTACCAAAACAACAGCAACAACAAAATATGCAGTGTAACAAACTGAATGAAAAATCAAAAGGTGAGTGAAATGTGGCTTGCCATTAAAAATCATGGAAAAGAAAAGAAACCACCCTCAAATGATACTCAGTCCCTCCAGTTATAAAAATAACTTTCATAAAACTGAAATTGCTTTGCCTAAATGTAAAGATTTTAGAATAGCATACTTTAATGTTTTTACCTTCACGTTCAATAAAATTAAACAAAAACCAGTATTATTAAAGTCTACACGTTAACTATGATTGAAAAAATTTGCACTTTGATTATAGAATATTCAAAAATATACATAATAGAGACTGCCAGCTTAATCTCTGCATCAGCACAGACAGAAAGACACAAGAGGCTGAGGGAGAATGAAATGACGGACAGGGCAAAAAGTCAGATGAGTGGTCCCACTTATTCATGCAAATGTAAGGGAGACAGACAGACTGAGACACAATATATTAACAACTGGTAGCATGGAGCCTTAGACTAACTTGTTGGAGACCACAAATCCATAAGAAGGCCTTGCCTGTTCTTCTACCTGGGAGTGGGCGCCCTTGTTCTGCCAACTTTTTATTTGACTTGGCAAGGCTGCAACTCACTTTGGTGTATAGGGCCCCAGTGGGGGGGCTGGGCCAATTCCCACCAGTTGCTCGGGGATGCTGACTCCCATCCTGGCTCCCTCAAGTCAACAATACCTGGACTTTGGTTTTTATTTGTTCTAAGTTCTGCAGACAGAAAAGGACAATGAAGGACTGCAAGATAACGAAGTCTAGTCTGGTTCCATGAGTCTTCTTATGGCTCATGGGTTGGTAAAAGAGGACGGGTTAGGCCACAGCAAATGGTTGCAACTGGATGGAACCCAGTCTTAACGCAGGCCCCATGTCAAGAATCCCTGCCTGATGCCCTTGCCTCTCTTGCACGGATGATCCCAGAAGTGATGGGTGGTTTCCTATTTGGGAGCCGAGGACTACACAAAGCAGAGGGTCACACAGGCACGAAAGTAATATCTTTACTTACACAGCCCCTGGGGTTGTGTCAATACATCACTTTGTACTTTGCAGTGTTTGTGTGGGGGTCTGTCAAGCTCTCCTCTCAGAGAGGGCTGTTCTTCAGGGACCTGGTCATGTTTCTACTCCAGTTTTCCCCATTCAATCTGCCCCATCCACACATGAGCAAAAAGGCTGTTGGACTTCTGGCATTTGAAAGTATGAATTTTTAGGGATTTTGGAGGTTTTCCCCTAAGCTAAGACTTTCTATGAACATTGATGGAAGTTTTGTAAACTGTTTGTGCTTTCAAGCAGCTATTACATAATTCATCTCATTTTTTTTTTATTTGAAAGTTCAAATGGAACAGCTAGAATGAAACAAATGGCCTTTCCTTGATAGCAGTGTTAGTAGAAATGTTTCTGTTTTACACATGGAAAGCTATCAAATTGAGGCCTAATTACTTTACAGTTTTCAACAGGTGGTTCTTAATGGCAAAGCAGTTATCATACATTTAATAAGAACAGGAGCTAACTAGGTGGACTTGGATGTTTGATTATCTATTTAAGCGTGTAATTGCATTTTTCAATATAATTAGCAATAAATTGAATGTGTAAATTAATAGATGTGTTTGCCCACATAAGTAATTGTAATTCAGTGCAATACTTTAGATTAAGGGCATTATTTCTTAGTTGATAGCAATATAATTTCATGAGTACTGTTTTTCTTAAGATTTTTTTCTGACAGCAACAAAATATATGTAATCAAAAGACATGTTTTAATAAGTTGAGATTCCAAGTTAAGTATAATTATATTTTGATTAATTTAGACAAAATTTATGGAAGTAAATATTAATATTCCAATAGTTGAATTCAAATAATAAAGTCAGCCTCCATACTATGCTACTGAGAATTAACCCTAGCATTTTCTAGAGCTATATTATAAATTAATATAAAAAAGGAACTGAAGTATTTGATTAAACTACTACTAGTCACACTATCATTACTATTTTTCAGAAATTTTCATATACAGGAATTCAGTAAAATCCTGGGCTCTTTTAGAGGAAATAAAAAACAGCATTTTTTCCCTCCTAAATGGCAATTTTAAGTAAACTATTCTTTACATATTTAATTGACTATATTATTTTTCATGTATAAATGATCCTATAGACACCAGGTCAATACAATACCTCTTTCCAATTACCATTATTTCATTGCGTATTCATTTAACATAGCACATAATTGATACAGAATCGGTATCTTTGGGGATATCTTCTGGGTGTTATAAAGTCCCTCCTCAGGTCAATACATGACAGTTTCTTTCTGGAAGGGGATAATACCATAAAACTTTTCCTCTAAAGCCTGTCTCTCTGCCTCTCTCCCTCCCTCTCTGTTCTTCCATCCCTCCTTTCCTTCTCTCTCTCTCCTTTGCTGACTTTATTTATTTTTGTTTAAAGATTTTATTTATTTATTTGAGAGAGAGAGGGAGCACAAGCTGGGGGAGCAGCAGAGGGAGAGGGAGAAGCAGGCTCCCCACTGAGCAGGGAGCCTGATGCAGGGCTCGATCGCAGGACCCTGAGATTATGACCTGAGCCGAAGGCAGACGCTTAACTGACTGAGCCACCCAGGCACCCCCTGAGCCACCTAGGCACCCCATTTTCTGGCTTTAAAGAAGTAAGCTATATGGATGCCAGAGCCACTAGAAAATTAACTCTGCCAACAACTGAGAGAGCTGAGAAGCAGCTCCTTCCTCAGTGGAGCCTCTGAGGAGGATCCAGCACTGGCGGGTCCCTTGACTGAAGACTTAATAGACCTTAAACAGAGGACCCACCTAGGTCATGCCCAGACCTCTGATCCACGGAAAATGGCATGACATAATAAATGAGTATTGTTTTGAAGCCCCTCAGTGTTTGGTAATTTGTTATGCAGCTACATAAAGTGAATACAGACCGAGCTGCAGCAAGGTTAGGCATGCCACTGATCTCTCCCGTGGGACTTCCTAAGGCAGCCATTATAAAGTTTACCCACAACTAGTGTAACCCTGCTTATTTGTGAGGATAAGTTCTTTGTTTAGCAACGAGAAGGCTGCAATTGCTGTCTACATTACTAGAGTCTGCAGGTGCCTTCAAGCCCCCTGTACTGGTTATTCCATTCAAGTGCCAGCCCATGATGAAGACATGTGCCACCATTCTGTTCTCACCTCTTTGCTGCTAAGGATGATGACACAGTAGCGCGTGTGCATGTCAAAGGGAAGAAACAAGAGCTCCAGGCTTGAAGTCCCTTTTACTTCCAGGTGAAGAGTATGTGTGGAGCAGAAGAACTCTCTGATGAAATTGGACTTAATTGCTACCAAAACATGAAGCAGAGCTTGTTTACATATCATTTCATAAGTGCTGTTCAAATAAAGCAGCTGTTTCAATTAGTGCTTCAAGTTTTGAAATAAATAAAAAAATGTTTAAAGCATTAGCACACCAAATTAGATGACACGTGCGTTTGTTAATAAAAGTTAACATTAACCCCATCTCAAGCCTGATATCATAAAAATGTGTAATTATGACCCTCTATTAAAGATTCCTTGAAAAGGGAACTTTGCTAGTGTTTAAAATTAGCCTCGATATACATATATAAATAGCAAAGTGGTCATCTAAGCATTTTCAACTTTTTTGGTCAACTATATTAATACTTTGCATAACAGGGTGTAATAGAAAACTTGAACTGGAAATAGAGGAATGTTTTATTTATATATACATATATATATACATATATATATGTTTCTATCATTTCTGTTGGTTTTAAAATGTGTCTACAAGTTCTTCAACACTGCCTTGAATGTGGTGATATGGTGGGGCAGTCTTAGTGACTTGATCCCAATGAATAGTATGCTAGAAAGCAGCAGTGTGACTTCTGACATTAGAGCGAACAATGTAATACAGTTTCTTCCTAATCATCCCTTTCTTGGCTCACTTGCTTTTAGAACCGAGTTGTCATCCTGTGAAGAAGCCTAGGCCACATGAAAAGCCACATGTAAGTGTCTAGGCCAACAGCCCCACCTGAAGTCCTAGCCAAAAGGTATTATCCATCAGATACGTGAGTCAGGAAGTCTTTGGGATGACTCCAGCCCCAGCCTCCATCTGACTGCAACTGCATGAGGACGCTGAGCAAAAAGCATCTAGCTGAGGCCAGTCACTCCAGAAGTGTGGGAGATAATAATGCTAATACATTTTTATTGTTTAATGCCACTACATTTGGGGTGGTTTGTTCTGTAGCTAGAGATAACCAGAACATTCCTGTATCCATTTTCCTATCCACGTTCTATTCATATTTTCTAAATCTACAGTTATTTCATAAAACAAAGTAAATCTGTGTTCTCTGTGTAATTTTAAACATGGTGATACCTGTCACCTAAATAGGTTTAAACAGTTTAGAACAAGCCAAAAGAAACATAAAAGTCATTTATTTAAATACATTCATTGTATGGGTAAGGCAAATGGGACTCGAAGTAAAGAGAAAGATGTAGAGTCCTCAAAGGGTCCCACTCTGCCAGCAATCCCCAGGGCTTGGCATTCTGTCTACTGTCATAACCATCCTTTGTCGAGTATTTCATTTACTGGTATGCTATCCACATTTTAAAAGTCAGACATGAAGACAAATGAGTTTTTTTTTTTTTTTTTAAGATTTTATTTATTTATTTGAGAGAGAGAATGAGATAGAGAGAGGACATGAGAGGGGGGAGGGTCAGAGGAAGAAGCAGACTCCCGGGCAAACAGGGAGCCCAATGTGGGACTCGATCCCGGGACTCCAGGATCATGACCTAAGCCGAAGGCAGTCGCTTAACCAACTGAGCCACCCAGGCGCCCGACAAATGAGTTTTTATCTGAGGTACTCACAGGTTCTTAAGGCATTTGGGGAATGGCAACAACGCTCCACATTATCACTTTCAGGGCTATTCCCAGCATCACTGTCATAAGTAAATAGGAGAACAACATCAAAAACACAAATGAAACTCAAAAACAAATCTCTATCTTCATTAAATCTTATAGATCCTTAAAAATTATGGCTACCTACATGATATGCAAAGACCACAGATGTATTTCATATATCACCTTTATGTTTACATTGCTTCAGAAATTTTAAAAAATGCAAAAAGCAAACTAACAATCATCTATATTTCCACCACTGTTTTATACAATTAAGTAAAAACAATTCCTTTTTACTTATGAATACTATGGAGAAATAAATATTTGGAAATAAAAAAAAAACAAATCCTGAGGCCCAAAAGTAGTGGTCTCAACTTAGGACTATATAGGTATTCTCTCCAAAAGTGGTTCTAGAACTTGATTTCTTGAAAGAGTCTCTTCTTTGAGCTTATTGTTTCTGCATTTGCTTCTTTCTCATAAAGAGAGGAGATACGGGCAGCTGTTTAAGCTCTGGTTGCATTTCTGAAAATTAATTAGCAGACCACAGCCTGAAACAACTGCCTCCCTTGAAAGGTTCCATATCTTCCAGAACCCATCAATTTTCCCCCCAAATGGCTCAATATTCATGATTACTTTGCTCAACAAGCTGGCAATTAGCATCTGGGCTCTCAGATATTGTTTCCCTGATTTTTTTTTCTGAAAATACAAAAACTCCGTATTTTCTCACCTTGTCATATGCTTTTGCCTGAATTTGTTTTTTATTTATTTGAGAGAATGAGCAGTGGGGAGGGGCAGAGGGAGAGAGAGAGAGAGGCAGACTCTCTGCTAAGCAGGAAGCCCGACAGGGGCAGGGGTGGGGTGGGGGTGGGGGGGTTTGATCCCAGGACCCTGAGATCATGACCTGAGGCAAAGGCAGAGGCTTAACCAACTGAGCCACCCAGGCGCCCCTTGCTTTTATCTGAATTTGATGCTGTAAAAATATATGGACTATTTCCAAGTAAAATTCTAGTCATATTGATTCTTTTTCTCTACTGCCTTTTCTTTCTTTCTTTCTTTCTTTCTTTCTTTCTTTCTTTCTTTCTTCCTTTCTTTTTTAAAGATTTTATTTATTTATTTGACAGAGAGAGACACAACGAGAGAGGGAACACAAGCAGGGGGAGTGGGAGAGGGAGAAGCAGGCTTCCCGTGGAGCAGAGAGCCCAATGTGGGGCTAAATCCCAGGACCCTGGGATCATGACCTGAGCCGAAGGCAGACGCTTAACGACTGAACCACCCAGGCGCCCCTCCACTGCCTTTTCTTGATAACAACGTTCTTAATAAGGTTTACCGCATCTTATAATTATTCTCTGCTTTACTTCAATTCACAGACATTCTGATTAGCCGTTTTAGTTATTTTATGTAATTTGAACATTTGATAGACACTTTAAGGCTATCAGAGACATACTAGATATTTTAGCATTTATAAGGGAGACCATACAGAGAGTGGAAAAAACAACAAAGAATGCTTATTTCTCAATGCATGGTTCCACTGCCATATCTGTAATGGAGCTCTGGGGAGAATGCCTGATTAAAATCCTCAGATAATTTCAGAACTTCATTTTGCTCAATACTTGCAATCTCCAGCCCTTCAGCCATTTTTTTTTCATAATGAATAGAAAAGCAGAGCAATTTGGGCTTCGTCTCCTTTTTCTTTTCTTTACATATTTTCTTGAAGAATAGCTAATGAAAGTGCCTTTTGAATAAATCAGAGTTGCCTTTTCCTCAAAGGAGACTCGCAAACCCACAAAAATTGAGTTACCTGTACTATTTATGGTAAAGATGTATAGAAAAAAATTGCAGACTTAGAAATGTTATTACCTTGCCCATACAACTGGTGATTATCATGATTAATTCAGAGACATCAGAAAATAATTTAATTAAATAATTTGGTTCAGGTAAATTCTATTTTCCCTGATCAATGTTCTTGAGTCTAGAAATTCAGTGCTAAACCCAACTTGTTTATAAAACCAGTATCTTGCAGATCCAAAGACAGAACAGAAAACCCACTCTACCTTTTGGTTACTCCCTGCACCTCAAGTCTATATCATTTTCCTAAATGCTCACCAATCATTGCTGAAGCTATGGCAGAGGGAGCATTTTTAAACCCTTGGTCTTAAAGAAGAAAGAGCATCAAAAGAGGCTAAAATTACACAAAATACTGTTGATCAAGCAAGGGAATATCTTTTACTAATTTAGTAGTGGGCTAAAGTCAGGGACTGAAACCTACCTATGAGGTGTGAAGGGATGACATTTCTTTTTTCTCTGCAGGAGTGATAGGAAGCTCTTTTCAAACTAAAATGACCAAAATGACATTGAACTGGTTCTATTCAGAGCTTGAATAAATCAGCCCCAAGAATGACTTCCTACTCAAACCTTTTCCAGTAGGGAGGGGAGATCTTTATTATAAGCCTTCACTGAAGCTACTCTTGGGCAAGCATTCACAGCCGTGTCCAAATCAAAGAGTGAATTTTCTGGTTCAAGACCAGTTTTCATGCATCACAGGAAGGAATATAAGTGGATCAATTTTGAGATTCACTCCAACCTCCATGTGTCCAGGATTTCTTCAAAAAAGGACCTAGTGGCCATCTGGAGGGCAGTAAAAATGGGATTTTGCCATTTTTTGTACCTCTTTGGCTCCTGAGCAATTGAGAAGTCTGTAAAACAAGGTGTGCCAACCTGGAGAGCTAGGACAGAGCGGATCTGTGAATTCAAATGGGGAAAAATTCCATCTTGACTCCCACTAACTCTTAATAGCAATTTAAACCAAACCACAGTAGCATTAGCTTAATATGACTTGGTCACCAAATAATCATGGGTATGTTTATATCACATTTCAATTCTTGTACATATCTTAAGCTATTATTGACATTCATAATTACTTTTAAAGTATGGTAGTTACTATGTCCACCAGTAGCTTTTATTGTGTATTCTGTTAATGAAGAAGTATGTCTTTTAACATACTACGATTTCAAAAAATTTTTATTATCTGCTGGAGTATGAGTTTCCTCTGTGCCGGAGACTGAACTGTGTCACTGTTAAAATCATATGTTAAAGCCCCAATTCTCCACATGACTATATTTGGAGACAGGCCCGATAAGAAGGTAATTAAGGCTAAATGAGGTCATAAGGGTGGGGTCCTGATACAACAGAATTAGTGTTCTTATGAGAAAAGTCAACAGGAAGCTCACTCTATGTATGCACAATGAGGTCATGTCAGCCCACAGCAAGAAGGCTGCCACCTACAAGTCAAGAGAAGAGGCTTCCGAGTGAAAACTATCTTGCCTGCACCTTGACCTTGGACTTCCAACCTCCAGAGCCAGGGGAAATAAATTTCTGTTGTTTAGGCCACTCTTTCGATGTTATTTTGTTATTACAGCCTGGGAAGATAAAGATACCCTGTAACCCTTTCATCTTATTTTAAGTATTTATAAAACATTATTCTGTGAAGTAGAACAGGCTTCCTCAGACTGGCAAAGACTGTGATGACATTAAAAACACACATGAAGCTCCCATGTAGAGCAGAGGATCATGGCAGACTATGACTCTTAGTACATACATCTGGCTTCTGATTCGCTCTGTGTTCCTTGGAGATTTCCCTAATTCTAAGTGTCACCAATTATTCAGTGTAGTAAAAGTGAAATATCTTAAAATCATGGCCATACAGAATCCAGCTTTTCTGCGTTGTTAGCAAGAATCAAGACTAAGAAAAATATCTCTACCAGGGCCTTCTTTCATTTGGGTGGTTACTCTGGGCCAAGCTACTCTGGGAGACAAGGATAACTGACAAAGCCCCTAAGCTCACAGGGTATAGTCTGTCATACAAAGTAAGTCTACAAGAAATAATGACAAAGCAGAAGGATAAACACTTCAACACCTTTTCAACTTTCATTCACATTCTTCCATAATCCATATGCATAAGCATATGTCTTGTATTTCCCCTTGCCTGTCCCCTCCTCCACTGCTTCAGCAATTCCTTCTTCCCATGTTCCTTTTATACTTATAAGAAAGTTCTCCCCTGCTCTAGATTCAGGCCATCAAAATCTTACATTTCTGATCTCAATTTGTATATGATAAAGAACAGCAGAGTATAGCATATGTGTGAGAAAAAAGTGCTTAGTACCTCATTATTCTCTTTAAATGTCTTCTCTTTCTAGGTCTGCATTTTTTTTCTATCCGTCTTTACCGTAAAAAGTGTAGGTAACTCAATATTTCTGGGTTTGAGGGTCTCTTTGAGAATAAGGCAACTGTGATTTATTCAAAAGGTACTTTCATTAGCTATTCTCCAAGAAAATACATAAAGAAAAGAGAAAGGAGAAGCCCAGGAAGATCTCTATATCTAGATAGTGACAGTCCTTGCCAATGAGCTCACAGAACTTTTTTTTTTTTTTGGTACAACATACATTACTGAATGCATTCTGCTCTGTACAATTGCCTCCACTTGTGTAGATTTTCTTCTTCTTCTCTACTTGATGGTTGGCTCCTTGAGAACCAGATCTATGACTTATTTATTTGATATTCCTATGGTACTAAGAACACTGCCTGAGGGGCCACTTAGTAAGAATTTATTAAATGATAAATAATTCAATGTTGCTGAAAAAACAGCAAGTCATATTACTGTAGGAAATTATTTACATAGTGTTCATTTCTGAGCACTGCTGACCCATCATTTAATTTTAAAGTGTGGCTAAAATCAGTGTCCTGTCCTGATCCTTTCTGGTAATCCTTTGGATTTAATTAGAATAAAAAGTTCTTAACTGCTCTTGCTTATGCTCATGGATCATTTTCCCGTAAAGTAAAATGTGTGATGAATATTTTTATCATCCATGTGGTTTCAAATGTGCTGTTTTATATGTGTCTGTTGCTTAAGAAGAGCAGTTTATAGAGGCATTTAAAAAAATTTTAATAGGAAACTTTACCTTTTTTTATGCCACCTGAAAGGTAATTTCAGCACTTTACTGCTCTTTTGAGAAGAGAATGTTATTTGGGGAGACACTGACTGAAG